ATTATACAATTGACATTTATATAAAATTATAGCTGTAAGATTAGTAAACTGAAAATGGTAAATTAATTGTCTATGTTCTTTTAAATTTCTTTCTTCTAGTCACTATTTTTTTTCAATAATACCATTTCTGGTCTTTAAAAGACAAACACAAATCTGTGATGCAATATATAGAACCAGGAAATAAAAAATGTAAACCAACAAGAATTCTCCTAGTTGTTGTTAGTTTGTTACTTTTAACCAAAAAAACGAACCTTCATACAGGCCAACATTTTCTTCCTTAAGCAAGTGGTTCGATCAGTGGTGTGTGGTTTATGTGTGTGTGAGAGAGGGGTTATTATTTTACTTTCCTATAGTGGTTTAATTAACACTAATTGAGTATCTTGCTTAATTAAGCTTTAATGCTTTATTCATATTTTTTCCTTTTTTATTCATGAGCAAACGTGCCAAACCCATTAGCTTGTGTCTCCTCTACCTCTTTGATTCTGTGTATTACTTTAGTCCTTGCAAACAGTGCACAGAGTTATCCATTTCATTGAAAGTATGGCTTCAAAGAAGGAAACACGACCAACAAGAAAATAATATGTAATTGAATCGAGTACATTTACTTCAAGAAATGATGTCTCCCTTTCCACGAAAAGGGAAAATGTTTTCACACCAATAATATACATGAATCGAGTACACCATGAAATGTACTCCCTCCGTCCCCTTTTAAATGGGACGGGAGACGGTGGCACGAGTTCCAAGAAAAGTGAGTTTGTGTGGTTGATATTAATTGATAAAGTAATAATAAAGTAAGAATGATTTTGAGCCACACAAAGTTTACCAAATAAGGTATGGGGCAATTAAATAGGGACATCCCAATATGGTAAAACGGGACATTTAAAAGGGGACAGAGGGAGTATCTAGGTTTCGTAATCTCTATGAATATTGGCATGAATGAATGAAATGAATATCTGATATGAACAGGTAAAAAAAACCATTTATTTTTAAGCCCATATATTTACCTGCAATGTCTATCATTTTCTTCATTGTTCAATTTCTATGTCATATATAAGTTCGATCTCTATTTAAGCACCTCACTCCTTTTTTAGGCAGATAAAGTTATGATACTTTATGTAATCTATACACAAAATCCCGTGACGGTTCTTCCAAAAAGATTCACACAAGATATTCGTGCAGCATATTTCATTTTTAAACTGATGACATTGCCTTTGTATATAATAACTACTTAAACTTTGTTAAAATTCTTGATCTATTAAGCGTTTTTTTAAACTGTATGAAGGGTTGATCTATATTTATTCTTTTTAACACTGATTTCATATATTCATGTTCGCTAGACTTCAAACTCTTTTGGAACTAAGACTTAAATGTTGTTGTAAGCATTCTTGTTTTTAAACAAGATACGATAACCTACAAGTTTTAAAAAATTGGCATTACCCCAATTAAGATGAAAATGAACTTCAAAGAATAAAAATTATGAAATGTGGTCTCAAATACTTTTGATATTTGTCTTCTTTTTGTTCAATAGTAAATGAACTTCAATGAATCTTATTCTATTATTATTATGGTTATTATAATGATCTTGGTTGTTTTATTTCCCCACATACAATCTATGCTACAAATATTTTATTCGTGAAGTTTCTTTATTAATTTCTAACAAACTATGTATACAAATAGTTTACTCATAATACCCACATATTTGGCGGAACCAGACTATTTTGTTGGGGGGGGGCGATAAAATATGTTAAGATCCTAAGTTAAGCCGGGTCAAAGTTATTGATAATTTGTATACAAGGAAAGTTACTTAAATAGGGGTAAACAAGTTTTAAAATTCTAAAATTAGACTGTCATGTATTTGTTTCCTAAATATGAGTAATTTCTATCATGTTTGACATTACTATGCTTTAAATATGATATTTCTTTTCAAACATGACAAAATTACTTTTATTAGTGATTAAAAACATGAGAATTCTAATTTGGAACTTCAAAACGTTTTTACTCCTATTCAGTGCTTTCTATAAAATATCCCCGTATAGACTATGTATAAATTATATGCATGTTATTGGAATACATATGTATTAAGAATGTTATCTTTTGGACGGAAATTTATTGATCTGGTCTGAACTTGTCTGCTCTAGTTTGGCAAATTTATTTTATAACAATGAAAGTCTGGTCTGGGACTGAAAACAGTCCAAAAGAAAACATCATTAATACTTGTTGGGGTAAGGGCCCAAGCCGAGGTCCGGCCCACTAACCCATTTTGCCAGACGCACGTCCAGTTAGAACACTAGGCCGGCCCACAGGCCCATGTTCCTTGAGGATGGACGAACGTCTGGGGTTGGGGATTCAGGCCCAGCGGCTCCTCCCGACGAACGTCAATGTAGGGACAAAGAGCAGGGCCACGGGCCACCAGGGATGACGACGAACGTCCCCATGGCAAGCCTATAAGTCATCGGAGGAAACCCAGTCCACATGGTGAATATTTATAAGGCCAGGGGACGAACAGCCGGTATCTCCTGAGGGTCACTTGGGACGATCCAACTCACTTCCCGGGCGGACGAACGTCCCCACTGATTGGGCGGGAAACCTAGATTCTGGCGGGAAGTGCATTTAATGCTGAAGATTTGGTGGTTGGGGCACCAGCGGTCCACAGGCTGCCACGACAGTATAGCCACCTGCCCATTGGCGGGTATAAATAGAAGCATTTATTTCATTGAAAAGGGTTGACAACTTTCTATTCTTAGCATACTAGCTTCAGCATTCCTACTCGCAGCACTACTAACTGCCTTGTAGGACGAACGGCCGACGTGCCTTTTTTAGCAAGTAGATTGTACTTAGGGGAGTTATTACGAAGTTAATAATACCTATTTACATTGCCTGCTATTTCTTTTGTTTCCTGATCCATCTGATAGTTGTTGGGCTAGATATTCATACACTCACTCCACTCGAAATCTTTGGGCTTACGTGTTGGGTCCAAGGGTTGAAGGAATAAACCTCAACAATACTGTATCACATTAAGCACATATATATTAACAATTTTGTGTTTATTTATTTGAATACACATTAAGTATTAAGTAAAAAGAATGTGATTTGGTCATTATTAGTTAACAATTACTCCAAGAATCGAACTATATAACTAATAATTAATAATTACAAATTACTCAATCATTATGCCAACAAGTAGATGAACTAATTAAATAAAACAAACTCCATTAAAACACCAAACAAGAAACAATTAAACAAACTCATTAAAACACCAAAGAAGAATACATTAAAAAACTCCATTAAGTTAAAAATCAAACTAGGACGATTAATCTCCATTCTCCGGTAGTCCAACTTAGGTCAAACACCAAACACGAAAACAATTAAAACACCAAACAAGAAAACAATTAAATAAAAAAGTTGATTAATTAAATAAATATGACTTAGTTGAGGTGGAATTTTGGAAGTGTGCGACCCAGCAGCCGTGGCTTAAATAAAATCGCTGATTCAAAATCGCCGGCTCACCAATTTGTGTTTCTCTTTCCCCGTTTTTGCTTGCTCTGGAGTACTCTGGAAGCTAACCGAAGGCAAAACTGGTATAACTTATTATTACCATAAGGAGTAATAATACAGAGTAATACCATAAAAACATCCGACGTCGTTTCTTTTCCTTTTAATAACACAGCCAAACGTCGTCGTTGAGCTAAGCCTATTAAAATGATTGGTCAGCATCTTTAACAATCGAACATAGAAATACCAGGGCACCGGCTATGGAAACAAAACGAGAAGGGACGACGGGAGATGCAGGGGCGGGACGAATATATCTCCTACTACTACCTTGAAACGTCCGGCGAAGGGGTGGCGCCAGCACCGGCAAGCCCAGGCCTAGTTCCGCCCCTGCTCTCAACATAAATGGTCTTGGACATTTACAAGAACGCAAACCTCTCTCTAACAAAACTTGTGGAATATTTTAGGCTTCATTTGACTTTGGAGGTATTCTGTCGGCAACAAAGTTTATATTTCTCAATTTTGGGCTACTATGTTTAACAGGTCGGCTTGTCGTTCCGCTCCTAATCCTTTGTAGCATCGTTTTTAAGGGGGCAGGCTACAGCCCTCCCCATTTAGTTTTTTGTATATCCCATCTTTTAAATAAAATTCTGGAAAATGCACCAGACACTTTGCCTACTGTTAAAAGTGATTCTTTTGGGCAAAAAAAGGTCAAAGTACAATTATATATATAATGGACCATTGTCAATTATTCTAGTAAAGAGTACATAAAAGCATGTAATGAAAAGGCATAAGATGTCGGTTTTCAAAACAAAAAATAGAGCATAATAGCCAAGGTCTCTGTAGTGTCAACACTCACTATAGCTCCCAACAATCATGACCCAGGTTTGCAGATCACACGTACAAGGACCTTAGCAGATAAAGCTCAAGTAGATTTATTATATTTGAGATCTCACTAAAGGTTGAAGCTATTTTATGACATCCACTTGCAAAAGGGATGAGAAATGAGGAAAAACATGCTTTTGATAAAATAGTGTTTTTATTAGCAAATGCTTCTAATGATCATGAAAAGGGCATGATTATCAAATGTCAAAGTACAGAGAATTGTTATGGCAAGTGCTAGAAAAAAATGAGGGTAATAATTACATTGCTGTAAATCAGAGAGTGAGAGCTTCTTATTAGCTACCTACCAATCTTCTCAACAGAAAATTAAAAACAAAGTCTTTAGCTACAAATGAAACCAAATTAAAACCAGATACATTAGTGTGAGATAAACTTAATTTCTAGAGAATATTTTAGACCCAATTTAATATGATATCAAATTATCAATGTTTGATCAGATAGCCCTATCTGGACACATGAAGTGTGAAGTATAACGTCTTATATCAGATATTTACAAGTTTGAGTCTAAAACATAAGTATGAGGTAAACATTATGTCAAAAAAAAACCTCATACAATATGCTAGACCTAATATAATACTAACTTAAACATTAAACTGAAGAAGCAATACCTGTCTAGCTGCAGCTTTCTGGACAAAAGAGGGATCCAACCTTTTACTATTATTATTATTATCACTTGAATCATATAAAAGACAAGAATTTCTCTTAGAGAAAGCATGCATATGTATCTTTTCCAAAGCCAATTCTCTTTCACTCCAATCAGTTTCAGGATAATCATCCATTTCACTATGGCCATTAAACTTGCTGAAATCCCTAACTGCACCTTGGCTTGGCCACAAACACCGGCTATACTGTGAAGCTTTAGACTTCTTCTTCTTCTTCTTCTTCTTCTTCTTCTTCTTCTTCAAAGGCTTCTTCTTCCATCCATCTTTGCTGCTTATACCCAAAGGATACTCTGATTCTCTCTTCTTATCCCCATCAACACTATTTGAAGGAGAAAAGTTAAGAATATGTAAAGAATATATTTACCAAGCAGACATAGTCAACCAAACATGTTAACAAACACACAGTATAAAGAATTAAGCACAAAATGAAGAGGTAAATTGGGTTAAAGTTAACAGTGAACCATTGAATCATTAGGTAAACAAAATTATTTTGTTAAAATTGGATTAGCTTCTACTCCTATCAATTCGATTATTTTGAAATAGCTAATCCAATATCCTAAATTTATTTTTGTTTCAAGCTCAAAATAGGTTTAGGCATAAGTCGACAAAGTCCAAGAATGGGGGATTACGGGATAAAAGATGAAGGGAGTGAAGCCTCACCTGCAATAATCAAACATCCCAGAAGTCCACAAGTCCAGGAAACTATCAGCTTATAGGAGAGGAGAAGATGAAGGGAGTGAAGCCGCATGATCGAGGAACCCCAGCGCCGATTTCTGGACTGAAGGTTTGAACCCTGGGAAGAGATGCTCAGTTAAGCGAAGAAATGAGGTTTGTATACTGTATATGAATTGAATTGATAGGAGTCGGAACTCAGAAGTAGAGCTACGAACGAGACGTGAAGTTAAACACGACGAAGTCTACGAACAGGTGGTTTAATTAACGGAAGTCTGGAGTAGAGAGTACTGAAGAAACCAGAAAGGTACTATGCCCTTACAATAATGTACAACTCCATCTAGCTACACTATACTACCAACAAATTTTTTTTCCCAAAAGGGTATTAACCCTCATTCACCGTTATAATATTTTAGATGTGTAAAATCCAATATCACCAAAAAAAAAGTGGGCGGAAAGTCAAAATTCTCCATCAATCCATCATGGTATTATATTCAATGATGACAAACCTTCTTACGCCTCTTGTTGATCGAAATACATGTAGTAATTAAAGGAGGCCATATGCAACAATTGAAACAACACTTTTGGTGGTTATAATTACTACTGTAAAACAGTTTGATAACCAAATAAAGTAGTTAATATACTACGTAATACATTAAGTAGTAATTAAAGTAATTAAATTACCACATATGCCAAACGCAAGAGTCCAATGATCACCCGAGAAAATAGCCATGCTTCAATTCCCAAGTACGTACAATTAGCTAGCTTAAGCTTACTAATGTTTAGATTAGAAGATAAGAGTACAGCTAAGAAGCTAGATTTGCTTGACAATGAAATGACGAGGTGCATGCTTAATCTATTTATATAGGGGTGGCAAAGCACTCAAACACTTCTATAAGCGCATGATATGTATTTATTATTATTTATATCTTTAATAAAATGCACAATACATTTAGCAAAGTTAAGTGTCTTTTTGGTAAGCAATTGAGCATAATAGTCAAAATAATCACATGATTAAGTGTCTTTAACTTACATATTTGACAAATTCTATATTATGGTACTTCAATTAAGATAACGTACCTTGTTTTAAAGTATCAATTAGAATATACTACGTATATTGCAATTGATCGAACTTTTAAAAAATGAATCTATCAATGATGAGATAATAACTTCAATCAATTAAATGTAATGCAAGTAAGATATTCTCATTTAATTGTGAGATATCGTAGCATTCACCTACTTATTTTTGGCTAACACTACTAAAAAACAATGTTTTAACGACCATCTTATAACGACGACTCTAAAAAATCGTCGTTAAAAATATCTTTTAAGGATAACTAATACGTTCGTCGTGATTGAAATTTATATTTAACGACCACACACCTTCAATGGTCGTTAATAAGGATTATGTAGTCATCGTGATTACAAATTAGTTTTCACACACATCCATACTTTTTACAATTAAAATTTTTATAAAAATACTCCGAATTTTTACTTTTAGAAAATTCGCGCGGCACCAATTTTTTCCCAATTCCGCTCTCGGCTCTTCTTTACCCAAAGTCCAAACCCAATTAGTTTCCCTTCCTTATCAAACAACTCCCTTCCCCCAATATACCTATGGATAAATTATACCAGCTAATTACCCTAAAATATATTCATCCCTAGGATTCGCTCTGCTTTCTCAGTCAGCCGAGGCGCCGCTACTCACCATCTTCTTCCCTAGGATTCACTCTGCTTTCTCGATCAACCGCAAGTTACGACCCTTTTTAGTTTCTCAACAGATCTGTTTCTTAATTCTGAAGCTGGGCGCTGTTATTCCGGTACGGCTACTCACCCTCCTCCCCGCCCAAGACTCGCTCTACTTTCTCGATCAGCCTCAGGCCACAGCCCTTTCAGTTTTCTGAACCGATCTGCTTCTTGAATTGCTTCAGGTAATTTTAATCTTTAATCTTCTTAATTATAATATGTCCTTACTTCTTATTTTAATAAAATTTAAGTTATCCCTGATTTTGGTTTAGAACTGTTGATTTTCACAGTGCATCCATGCTTTATTTCTTACTTCTTGTTTTAATAAAATTAAAGTTTCTTGCTGATTTTGGTTCGCAACTGTTGATATTTCACGCTGTAATGCTAATTTTCTTCAAAATTTAATTTTTGGTGTTGGTTAAGCGTTTCTGTCAAACTGTTTTTTCATCCGCTAATTGAGTCCGAACAGTCTAAAAAAGGGACCATTTTAGTTTTGATAGCCGTTTAAGTGAAATTTTAATCTTCTAAATTATTCTATTTGTTTTTAAGTAATTGACGTGCACTTTGTCGTGAGTGCACTCAAAGTAAATTCAGTACAACACTTATACGTAGTATAGTGAAGTAGAGTTCGTATCCACAGGGAAAGAAACACTTCTCTTTTTATAAACTAATTAATAAAGGGGGGGGTTTTGATTGTTGAGTGATTTAATTAAATTAAACACGAAGATGAACGAGTTATGTGGTTTAATACAAAGATAAAAGGGACTTGGCATTGCTACTTTCCACTTGTTGATATATTTTAGTCGATCATTGTTATATCTATAACTTATCTCCTCTCGAATACTCAATCGAGGAGTATATCCAATTCATCGAGGATAGTTATTAACAACGACCGTTCATTAATAACCCTTACTATTAGCCAAGTATAGAACAAGCGCCGTATACTGACTTGATAGTAGCATTTAATCGCTTAACTCCTTGATGAAATCAATTGAGATCGATAACCTCAACACAAGCGGTTTCGGTTTAACCAACACAATTAATCCCTCTTAAGTCTATTAACCACGACCGTGCATTAATAGACCGAAGTTACTTACTTGTGAAACTATCAACGATTAACCATTGGTTCGTTGATCGTTTCTAGTAGTAATTAATATATGAAACAAAACTAGTTGATCCTTTAAGTAATGTTCAAAATATTAATATGAAATATGAATAGGAATCAATTGATACTCAAGGAAGAATATTAAAGAAGATGAATCCTACTATAATTAATATTAAGATGTTAACTAATTGTCATCTTAGTAACACTCCCCAATATTAACATAGAGGAAGAAATGACTATTACTATAACTAATGTCAAGATGTTAACTAATTGTCATCTTAGCAACACTCCCCAACATTGATATAGAAATAGCATTTGAAGAAAGAATTAATATTCAAGGAAAGAAATTAAGAAAATAACTCACAACTTTGATAATCAACAAGCTTCAAGAGCAATACCAAGAAATGGAGGTTTAGCTCCTCATTTGGAGACTAAACATGCTAAAAGAAATATAGAGAAATGCTATTCTAAACTGAGCTTAAGAGTATAAAGGAATTGGTGCTCTAAAAGTGAAGGAAAGGAGGTGTATTTATAGGCTTTTTGAGGTGCAGGTCGAGTACTCGATCGAGTATATATACATACTCGATCGAGTATGTGTAGAACATCGAATTCGTTCCATACTCGATCAATACTCGGGTAGTTTTTATAGCTATACCCGATCGAGTACATAAGTATACCCGATCGGGTATAGACACTCGAACGTGGAAAATCTTCTCCTGCATGTTCCTTTGTTATCGGATCCGATCCGATTTGAAATGTCAACCAGATACCCGATCGAGTATATGTGTATACTCGACCGAGTATAGACCAAAATCAGGATTTTTCCTTCTTTTTGTCTTGTACTCTTGCACCTTCCTTCACCATTGATCATTTGATTGATCTTGGACCTGTTTAAGCTCAGAATAAACCTAATCTAAACAAATTACAAGAATTTAACAAACTAAACTATTACACCGAAAGTGTGTAATTTCCGAGATATTAAACAATCAAAACTAACTAAAAACGTAAATAAACATACGGAAATTACAAACGTATCAACTCCCCCACACTTAGTTCTTTACTCGTCCTCGAGTAAAGTCAAATGTTTCAAACAGTTTAAGATCATTCCATGAGTTCAAGAAAGAAAGGAACAAAGATCACCAAGGAATAAAAATGATTTTCACAAACAACATTCTCTCTTGGGTTTTATGATCTTCTATGCTCCATCTTCTTGTCTCTTCTTCCTTTTCTTCTCTTTTTCTCCTCTTAGAGATCAAATGAGTTCCTGCACACAGAAAAAGGTTTTTTCTCTCATATCTCTCATTTTGCCTAGGAGCCTTTTCAGGTTTTCATCCTAGCATCTCTTTTTGTTTTTCCATCCTTTCCAAACTCACTCATTTATTTTTTTTATAAGCCATTTTTGCTTAGATTGCCCATTCTTGGGTTTTCAACCTAACTAGCATTTCAATTCTTTTATTTATTCTTTTTTTTTTTTTTTTTTTTTTTTTTTGTTTACAAAGAGTAAAAGAACTTCATGTATAGTAAAAGGTAGAAAATGAAATTACATACCATGAGTAATCTCCTCCCCCACACTTAGTTGAAGCACTGTCCCTAGTGCCCGCCTTCTCCACCGTAGTAACTGCCTCCAAAGCCGCTTCCGAAGCCTCCTCCAAAGTTCCCGTCTCCCATGTGAGTGTCCCCGCCGTCCCCACCATCAAAACCTCCACCCCCGGAGCTAGATCCTCCAAAATTACCCCATTGAGTGGGGTCATACCAAGAGGGGGGTGGTGGTGGTTGAGCCATGGTGTGGAATTGGCCTTGATGAGCCATGTAAGAGTACATAGGTCCATAGAACCTACGTTGATCCTCTTCATACCGTCGGTTGTCTGCGGCCCTTTGCTCTTCTATTCTTTGAAATCCCGCCATCTGTTCTTCCCGATACTTACCAACTTCATTGGTAACTCTCTCGAACCCGTCAAGTAATTTTTGGAAGTAATCGGTGGGTGGTGGGGCTTGGTTGTATTCGAGCATCGGGTGAGGTGCATCCTCGGGTTCTTGGTGCTCTTGTTGCTCTTGGTCGTGTTGATCTTCGGGGGGGTTTTGGGCGTCGGGTTCTTGGAGATGTGGTGGAAGGGCGTGAGGGAATAAGTAGTGAGGTTCCTCGAACTCCGGTTTGTAGCGTAGTTTGGGGGTGTCCGGGCTTGGCATTAGGAAATATTGGACCGGTTGGGTGTGTATGATCCAATTATACATGTTCTTCGGTTGGTCCCCAATATATACCGTATGGGAAAAAGAGGTGCATCCCGAGCGGCCTAACCAACCTATGTCCATCAAACAATAGTCGGGTATAGGAGAGTTATCCGTATACCCGAACTTGCTTGCCAAGTGCATAATTACCCCACCCATGACAATGGCACCTTTGGCCATGCTTTCCTTTTTTAGATGTGCCCAAATGAGATTACATAGATTGAAGTCTACGTGACGCCGGAAAAGTGCTACTGAGATCAAACATACGTCCCCAATCCTCGTGTGGTGGTTGTTGGGGCGTCCAAGCAAACAATTTGCTAAAAATTTCAAGAATAGCCGGAGGACGGGGTGTTGGACATGACTAATATACATTTGGGAGGAGTTAAAGTTCACTTCCCCGGTCATCTTTGTCCATAGGGAGTGCCCAAAAATGGTGGTATCCGAAATGGATCTTTCGTAGGGCACCGGGATGTCAAAATGTTCAGCAAACTCGAGCTTCGTTATTGAATAGTTTCGGTTAAAAAGACGAAACTCGAGTCCATCATCCCTAAAATCCTCCTCATTGCTCTCAAAGTGCACCGAGCTCATGAATTCATAAATAATTCTTTCATTTGAGTTGTATTTCATTTTGAAAACAAGGTCCATATTCAACTCATGAAAGAATTTCTTCATCATTTTATACACTCCTAATTCACGTAGAGCATCGTGACATAGAAAACGAGAAGGTTTTACCTTCCTTTTTATGGTTGTGAGGAGTCGAGCCCGGTGTTCGGCGTCGGCGGGA